GGGGGATTCAGAACGCTCAACGCGCAAGCTGACATGAGCTATAGTCTGGGCTGCTAGTATTTTTCCTAGTAACCCCTATAGTAGTCCCCTACATATTTTTAACCCTCCATATAACTCCCTTTAAGGAGTTTAGACTATAGATCACATGGAGGCTTTGCACATGTCCAGCAAATAGTTCTAAAAATGGTTTGGCATCATGCTCCACCTGACAACTGTCGAGGATTCAAAGTGTCTCCAAGGATACAGGATCCAAATTGTGGGCGGGGCATATAAGAAGCTCTTATTGTTTTTCTACTCCAAAAGTAGCAAAACTTCGTATAGCTGGTATTCTTCAGAATACTGTTTGGTTTTTTCGTATTCTTCGTATAGTTGATATTTTCTGAATACTGTTCGGGTTTCTACGTGCGAAGTCTTCAAGGCAATCAAGCTTCGAACCCTAAATCCTGAACCCTAAACCCTACACCAGGCCCGCCTCGGGTGCAAAGAGCCGCTCCACTCCCTGGCCGCTTGCAAAATGTGTCACGAAGGTGCCCGGGAAGCCTTTTCCTAACTCAAATATACCTTAGGAGGACCCCCCACCCTATAATAGTGGTATAATAGGAATATGATAGGACCCCCAATATAATCCTTATTATCCCTTGTACCCACTATTACTGGCTGGGGGTCCACCTAAAGTATACTCCTATATACCCATGTTTCTTAATGGGACCTCTTCTCCAAGGCACGAATGTCCAAGGAACTGCTACAAAACACGGTCCAGGTTCCAGGACGGCCCTTCCCACTAAAAAAACAGTTTAGGGTTTAGGGACCCCATATACCCCTACATACCGCGAATACCGCGATAAACCCCCAGACCCCATGGGTTAAGGGGTTTGCTGCATGATCTCAAGAACGTTCGTTGCGAGACGAATTCACATGCAAACGGAATGGCAGCCTCCAAAACCCAGTATGCACTCTGGAAGGGGCCTGGCCCTTACAAGACAAACCCCAAACCAGGAAATCCGGGGATGGAGGGCTAGCGGCTGGGGAGATGTAAGCGACAAAGGAGAAGTCGTCTCCCCACTACAGGCTATTCACCCTTAACCCTAAACCCAAACCTGAGAAGAACTAGGACCCGTTGGGCGTAAGTCAGCAGGGAGTGACAGAATCAAAAAATTCTGGGTACTTGTAACAAGTAGCTTGGCTTCTGCTTCACCATACATAGGGGTACTCAGGGGTATATGGGCGTCTGGGGATTTATCGTGATATATAAACCCTAAACCCTGAACCCCTTCCAAGACATCAGACCCTAAACCCTGAGCGCCTAAACCCTGAACCCCTTCTAAAAAATCAGACCCTAAACCCCATCTCTGAACCCTGAACCCCTTCCAAAAAATCAGACCCTAAACCCTGAACCCCTTCTTAAAAACAACACGCCAAACCCTAACCCCTCAACCCTGAACCCCTTCCAAAAAATCAGACCCTACACCCTAAACCC